ATTGGACTGTGCAATGCGGTTGTTGAACGGTGGCTAGGGAGGGGATTTCACCTTGTCGTGATGCGGAGGATGGGTTGATGATTTTCTGGTTGGTTGTTGGGGAACCCAGTTGTAATGGACCGTGTTGATGTACCTCTTCATCTGATAACATAATGGTACCTGAACAGGGAAAGAAGCGCGCAAGAACGGATAGTCGGAAACACGATCTGGAAAACCAAAAAAACATTCAAATTGGTAAAACCACACACACTCAGTTAACTGTTTGTACACCCCAGCTTCGAACATCATCGAACAGAACTAATGGTGATATATTCTCCGTATAGGGAGGCCGGTAACATAAGCCCCGGNACATACAGCGAAGGTACGATATATGTGTGGTACCGCTTGCTGCTAAAGTTAGATGGTGGATGAAATCGAAGAACTTCAAGAGAGATACACATTGTCCACTTGATTAGCGTATGCATATTACGCTGTACAGTGAGTTCACTTGATCAGCAGCGTCACCTTACACCGGTGACGCTTACAATCTTGTACCCACCGAGTTTTTCATCGGTTCATCAGATATACAGATAGCAATCGAAATAAGGACTCTGAAGTAGTGAAAACTGAAACATGGAACTACCTGATATGGCTTGCTTTATTTGATTGGGCACCCTGAAGTCAACAGTGCGTGTGCAGTAAAACGAGAAGTAATGATCACTGACCTACGGTGCATCGATCAAATAAAGGCAGTGGTCGCCGGTTCGAGGGNNNATACTTTTGACCTCGTCCAAAGGGCGTATGATCGGATGAACTGGACACCAAACCCCAATGGATTGTGGTTTTCACACACCACCCCGCTGCCTTGCGGGTCAGGCTTTGGCTAGCCGAAGGTTCCGGTTGTGGATTCCTCAAGAAAATTCACCTGCCTGAGCAACCTGGCAGTATTTGGCCCACATGCACATCCTGGAACGTTTTTCTTTTTTATGAAGATTATTGTACCAGGGTTTGTTTAGCACGCAGTCTGGCGTCAGACGTGTGAGAAATATATACACATACAACGGCAGGTGTGACGCACAATGTATGTCGTAGTATGTTTAAAGTTAGACCGAATGTCTAGCGAACAATTTAAACACTTTATGGAATGATTAATCTGAACCGGAGATCACAACAACGGATGAGCATAAATAAAGCAAACTTTTGATAGACTTACCGGAACGATTGGCGATCGAGCTAGCCTCATCATCAGAGGCCGTAAGGTCGATGGTGATATTTTGCTGAAGAGAGAAAAAAGCATGGTCAAGTACAGAAATCGGTTACACGGGTATTACACGTCTGTTCGCGAAAGACAAAACAAATGACAACTTGATAAAAAGAAGTCAGCTATAGGAACATCAAGCGAAACCTTATTTAATCACCGAATAGTGAAGCTTTTTCATTTGTTTCATTACTCGTGTCACTAGCACTAGATTTGAAGAACAGACTAAGGTAGCTGAGATAGCATTTGACTCTGCAAAACAGATGCCAGATAGTACCATAATACAATCGAAGAGTCGAAGACAGCTTGAAACTGCAGTATTTGTGCGCTGAATCATTGTTCTCATATTCGTACTAACACCTATTGCTTATAAGCGACTCTCTAAGTGAGCATGAGTTAGCTTCATGGAAGGATCCACGAAGAATCTTGGGAACACTGAGCAAAATGGCACCAGTACCACTCTGGCCTCTTCTTCCGGAACGGACCTTTAGCCCTTGCACAAACAAATATGCTTCCCCGAGGGAGCAGTGTCATGATGATGATCTTCTTTGACACGGAGTCAAAGTCTCCCACGTCAAGATGGAGATTTAAGGTTTTTTGTTGCACAGATCACTTCCTAGGCTAATATCTGCCAAGCCCACAGATATCGTTGTTGCTCCTTCGTGACTGCAAAGTCCGAGAAGCAATGTTCGTCTACGGTTGACTAGTCAAGTTATTTTTATTCTAACCAAGACTTGGAGACTTTTAAAGTAGCGTACAGCTGTTTAGATGGTAGCCATGAAGCGACCCACCATGTTAAATTGACAGGATAATTCAAACCAGACAACCTTCTGTTCAAGCGAGGGTTATTACCACTATTCTCTCAGCAAGCTGAAGTAGTTTCCATGATCATATTCAAAGAAATTCAACGAACCGACAGCCTTGATAACCAGTAGTCTCACTTAGACGCAAAATTACTGTATGACATCGATCGTGCAAGCGATGAACTTTGAAGCCAAAACCGTAAGATAACGGCGAGGAGCCCAAAGGAACACTGAAGTAATAGGGTTAGGAAACCGTGCTCATTAAAATAAAAAACAGCAATAATCACCTCCATTTAGCTGACATACCACAAATGTGCAACCGATTCCAGAAAGAAGCTTGTGATGAAGCAACACCTACCAAGTGCTAATAGGAGCACGAATAGTTGGACGATATTAATGAGATTCCAGCAGGACCTGCCGAGTGGTCGGGATAAGTGTGCTGGACTATGACCAGTAACCAGACCGTTGCACCTCACAATAACGACGAAGCGTTTGAAATAGCCCTTGCTGAAGTTCTACTCACCGTATTTACGTTGTGGAGATAATTCCTTACCAAAGTAAGAGAAAGAAAGCCAACATCTGGGGCTGTAAAAGGGTAGGTGAACGACTGAAAGTTCACCCCGGTGAGTTGATGACGTTGATCCCGATGTGGACAACGAAGAAGAGACATACGAACCATACATACCTTGGTTATGGTCGCTGGCTTGTTTAGGCCTCAAAGGAAATTGGACGCAATGCTCGTGTCACCGCGCAAACGGCATATGGACCGACGAACTGGGCCACGGTCTATTTCGGATTGTGTACTCTGGGTTGCACCTTACTGTTTTTCAGGTTTGCCTTATTTTTCAAAGGCTCTGGGCAGAGTCATTAAGATTAACCGCCTTATTCGGTTTGGGTTAATCGGAAGGTAGCGCGCTCATAACCCATAGACAGCCTGTACTTTGTAACATTGTGCCAGTTTTCATGAATTGGTTTTGCCTTTTTATTACAAACTTATGTGATGAACAATAGACAAGATGAACCTCACAGTCACGAGGCCCTCTTGTCTAGTCATGAAAACCGGTAACGTGAGCTCCGGAACTTGAAATGACGAACGACTTAAGGCTTTGCTTGCTAGATTAGGCGTGGTAGTGAACCGGATGACAGCAAAGCTACCTATCACCACGGTTGAGTGGCGACGACGGGGCGCGAACCTGAGGCCAACGGGTTCAAAGCACACTGGTGACATGGGCTAGACAACAGCGCCACCACCAATCTAAACATACAGGAAATACAGTCTGCGAAGGGATGCACTAGTCATTTTAATCGCCTGGCTACGGTCGCCCAGGAGGAGTAGGGAAACGTCGAAGTTATTTTGACGGGCAAAAACTCACCTAGACTCACAGATTACACAGACATAAGAATCCGTGTGGGTTCATTCGTGTGAACGAGTTTATTTTTTTATTACACACTTTCGCATGATGGACAGCAGACGGGGTAAACCCCATAGTCACGAGGACCTGCTATTCAGTGGTGGAAACCGGCAACCTACGCCCCGGAACTTGGAGTGGCGAACCACATAAGGCCCCGGATAGGTTAGGCGTGGTATTGAACCGGACGACAGCAAAGCTGACTACCACCAAAGTTGGGTGGCGACGTTGTCATGGTTCTTTCGTCCACATACAGAATTGCATTTTTACAGGCACTTTCACCACAAATAAGAGATATACTCACCTGCACAGGGACCACCGGTCGATCGATTTCCTTGTCGGATCCGATAGTATGCGGTGCCCGGAAAGGAACAGGTAAATTTCCACCACGGTTGGGTGAACTGGATGGGGGAAAATTTAGGAACGCCGTAGCATTCGAAGACGAACCAGATCCAGCAGGTGAAACTGCCGTACTGAACGACAGGCCGGTAGACAACATCGTGGTTGATGAGCCAACCGAGTCCGGTTCAAGCGCAGACGTCGTCGAGTTAGGTGTACGCTGGCGAGCCGGGACTGATCCGGGACTATTTAGACAGCTCGTCTGGGAAGTGGGCTTAGTAGCACATTCCGGTTCATCCTCGTCTGAATCATCTGAATCACTGGATCCGGGTGATTTACGCGATTTTCCTCTCTCAGCCAAAACGGACCAGGTCCCATCATCGTGAAACACCGCTTCGTCCAAGTTTTGAGCAGCTTTAGAGTTGAGCACTTCAAGGAACAAACTATAGGTTGAAAAGGACGAAAAGCGACCAAATATACATCTGATCTTCGAAATTCCATACAAAAATACATCTTCTCAAACATCATGAATAACCATATTAGCACACCAATTAGAAGGTTTCCGATAGCCTTAGTCACCTCGGGGGTGTCTCGAGCTGTGGCCGGTCACCTTTCGCTTGAACCCCGCGAAGTTCTCCTATATGACCAATCGTATCCAACAGACCCGAGTGGGGAAGCCCGAGTCAGTGCCTTTCGGTGGCATACATACTATTGTTATAATTCCAGAAGGCGATGCCCGATCGAGTAAAGTTGTTTGTCACGAATAACGATCAGGGTATCAGTAAACTGTCATTCATATGACAAAATATCTCATTTGGAACGAGACTGTAGAATTCCCACAAGCGCACAGGATAGTTGATAGAACGGTCCAGTATTAGATACGCATTACTGTATTCACCATACCGAACAGCAGCAATTCGCTTTAAGAGGTCTTGTTCATTTTGGGCCGTTGAAAGAAACCGACAACCGGATCTTTTTGCGAACTACTCACAATTACCTCACAACACCATCAGCTATTCCACTGGATTTGATACTATGATCTACCATGATCTGTGTGCGCTGACACTGGATTTAAATCGTGTTTTACTTTCTAATCAGTACGAGTTTCGGTAGAAAAATAGACAGATATCAACTTTGAGTAGTTTGTTAATTCATTAAAAACTTAAAATATGAACGACACATATCATAGCTTTTTCTAAGCTAATTTGTATGCTAGCATGTTTAACAGTTCGATTGTTCCTTTCCAAGGACTGAAAAGGTCATCCGTCCCACAAATCAGGATAAACGGAATATGGTCAGATTGCCCATTACTATTCTCTCTATACATATGTTGACTAAAAAGTGCGTAAAGTCACTGCACGGGCGCGATCAGCAAACTATGCATCACTGGCTCTCGGGATTGCCAAGAATAGATTCGAATTGTCCAATTTTTCAGTATAGCTTCCACAGCTGCTTTCACGGTCGGTCAAAATAAACTCACTGCCGTTATTTACTTACGGTGCGGTCTATTTCTACCCGGTTGAAAACTTACCCGTCTATGATCAGATCTTCATAATACACCTTGCGATCGCATACAGGACAATTCCAAGAAGGCTTTCGTTCATTTATGATCAAATAAGTAGTCGCATCGTAACACTGGATGTGACGGCATTCACGTCCTCGAACCGGCACTTCGATTCGACATTTGGATAGGGGACAAAGTAATTGCACTGGGAGTGTGTTGGGCATAACAAGATCATCATCATCATCCTCGTCATCGTCGTGATCATTATTGTCCATTACAACAGTGCTCTTATTTGCCGTTATTGAACCTTGTGCTCGTTCACATTGACCTTGCGTCTTTTGTGCTTTCGACCGCCCAGTTTGAAGCTTCCGAATGAGTTCCTCCTGAAAGAGGGAAACAAGAGAGACAGAGAGAGGGGATGCCTTTAGCGTCATGGTTTGGTTCTTGTAGTGGGAAGATAGAAATAAATGTTGCATTCTAGTTTGCATCGCTGCTTCATGTTTCTGGATTATTACATTACATGATAAGACGGGACTGGATAGATGAGTCAATCAAGCAGTTTGAGTAGAACATACCGGCTATTGAATAGTTGAATCAACCGAATAAGGTGTTTTGCAAAGGAAATCGATGCAAACCTGTTGATAACGTACGGACGGTCTTGCAGCCGCTCACCAATTGAAAGCTACCTTAAGGGACAAATTTCAACACCACCAATCGGGTAATTGATGTCAAATCATACAAGAACATAAGAAAACTGGCAAAGCAAGATTCATTTGAAAAGCACCTCAGAGAAAACTAAAGAAAAGTGATTAGATCCATCGACAATGATGCTATGAGATAATCTATCACTCAGCTATACTCTCTTGGCATGTGTTCGACCACATTTTCAACTAGAGATGGCCGTCATGCGGAGCATAACTGAGTGCCAGTTGCTGATCGAAGACACTTTACTTTCTTATTATGAAAACTGTGGGCTACGTTCCGAAAACTCAGAGAAAACCAACTCAAGCCAAGTGAATGCTAGTGGTTCAAGCGAGTACTACGGATGGAAGTTCGAAACCGGTGTTGAAAAATTTCAAAAGGTGTACGGTGAAACACAAAATATTTTTGTTATTCCAGATATCTTCCATTTTCCCGTATTTAACTGTTTCACCCCCTTTCACCCTGTTCTGTACTCCAATCCACTTGTCCCCTTTCATTGTTATTGTAATTATTGTTGTTAAGTTGGTACCATGCTTCTCTACAAGTTGGTGGTAAATATATCTGCACCGTTTTACCGAATCGGTATGGACAGTTGGTGATGGAATGTTAGTGAAGTGCTTTGTGGTGTCGAACACTCCTCCAAAGGCTGTTTCAAATCAAATAAATGACTGGTGTTTTACGAGACATCCCCAAGGTAACTGAGCAGTAAACCGTTTGATTACTGGAGCTGTTGTTATTTCAGTGCGTGCAGTCACAAGCAAGCTATCGAATCGAAGCGCTGAAGATAAAGCTCTTTGAAAAAACAAAACTAGTGATTGTACCATTAATATGACAACGTGCGTGTCTAATAGTCGTCTTCCGCATCGCATCTTATTTGCATTTGTAGGTCCAGGTTGAAGGAAGTCACGTGGAGCTGACGTGAAGAAAAGGAACGAAGAAGTGCACAAAGTAGGTGTCTCCCGTTCTCCAGCCTGTGGTCTAAAAGGTTCCCTAAGTGGTCGATTAGAGATACTGACCGACAAAGCAACAAACCGACAGCAGTGACGTTCTCGCTCTCACTTCGTATCAGGCTAGAATGTTAGAATGCGTATGCACAATGAGATTGTGCTGTGTGTAGACCACAGAAGTTCATTTTCCTTTGAAACAGGTCCAGTCCCAATCCACCTTGAGCATTCGTATTGATTTTGTGCATACTGTGAGTTTGGCAGAGACCAAAGAGATTCGCTTCGCTGTATTTCACTGCAAGATGATAATGATGATGTGACGCAATCTGATGCATTAGCCCAATAAGACGAATCTCTGAAAACAAGTCTTGATCGCTAAATTGCGTGCTCATGGATGTTGGAGTACAATATGTGTTAATGATTCGTCAAGTTTTACCTTGAAAGAATCAATCCCCTCAGCACAAACAACATGAGATGACAAGGAATTCCAGGTAGTGCACACTTTGACGGCAAAGGCATAACTTCGATAGTCGAGATTTTTGGAGTAGTAACTTGAATGGATGTCCCTGTAGATAAACGTTTGGCGACAACGTAAAAAGTCGGCGACAAGGGTGGTTTGGGTTGTGTAATATTTGGTACTCTAAAATTAAGTTTCCTCGAATCCGACGACAGTGAGCAGAGTATAGACCCAATGACTGCAGTCTCCCTATGTATGAAATATAATTGAGTCCTTTGGTTATCTTCGTGGCGAGCCTTTGTGGACGCTCCAAAATCTTATGATCACGTTGTAACCATGGATTCCAAGTTTGGATGGCATACTCAATATGCGGTCGGATGTATGCTGACAGCAGACGTGAGAATAAAGATGGTTCAAAACGACAGAAAACACGTTCAAGTAGACCAACATGTTTGAGTGCTGTTGATTACGCCCTGGCACAGTTAATAGAACAACTCAGGTCTTCGTGGACTATAACACCCAAGTTCTTCCCTGTTGATGCATAAGACAGTAATTCATTTCCGAGAAGATAAGGAAACCGCCCATGGTGGCGTAGCGAAATCAGCTTGCATTTGGAGACGTTAAATTGGATGTCGTTCTCAATAGACAATTTGTGAGCTGCATTAAGTGTTTCTTAGAGTTCCAGCGAACCCCCGCTTTCTGTCACAGTTTTCCAGATTTTTACGTCGTCTGCAAACAATAATGTTTTTGGTCCTAGGACATTCGGTAGGTCGTTTATGAACAAGAGAAAAAGTCGCGGACCAAGCACAGAACCCTGAGGAACTCCGCGGGAAACGGCGATAGGAACGGACAGTGAATTAGAGACTCGAACCGAGATGGTCTGTTGTTGGAGAAACGCAGCAATCCAATCAAGCGCGAGGTCTCTGACACCAAAATTGTACAGTTTACGGAGCAGTATTTCGTGGTTCACCCGATCGAACGCTTTGGAGAAGTCCAGGTAAACCACATCAACTGCATCACCTTTGTCTACTGTCTTTGTTTATTCATCACGGGCCAGGAGCAGATTGGTAGTACATGATCTCTTTTGACGGAATCCATGCTGTGCTGGGGAAGGAGGTAGTATTTCTCTAAGTGTTCCATCAAGAAATCCGCCACGATGGATTCCATGACTTCGGATAGAACGGGTAGGAGTGTTACCGGGCGGTAGTTGTCAGGATCACTGCGACGGCCGCTTTTGTAAATTGGAGAAATTACGCCATGTTTCCACGACTGGGGCAGCACGGTTGCGTCAAACACCCTTTGGAAAAGAAAAGCTAGCGGCTCAGATATGATTCGCTAACGCAATAAGCGGTTGGGGATGTAGATTGTCTGCACCTGGAGCCGAATACTTACGCAGACCCAGAAGCTTTGATTTCACTCCGTCGGCATCAAACGTGAAGGTAGTCAGTGATGAATTTGGAAGAAAGAGTATCCGATGAGGCAGCCGCAGACTCGCGTTGTTGGGTGTGTCGAAGACTTGGGCATATTGGTTTTTCAGCATCTCAGCTGCTTCCTGGATGTTACTGGCGACCTTCCCAAGACAGTTGAGCGCGGGTATCCCATACTTTCTTTCCTCGACATATTGACGTGTTTGTATAGTAGTGATGGGTTGGAAATGAACTACCGTGAGAACGTTTCTTGGTACCTCAGCTTATCCTCCCGCACCAACTAGGTACAATGGTTTCGCAATTGTCGATATTTATTCCAGGTGCTGTCAGTTGGAAATCGATTGTATTCTCGCCAAGATCGATTTCGCAGAGACATCCATTCCTTTGTGCGGCTTGGAATCGGCGACTTTTGGACCCTTGATTTTCTGACAACCTTAGTAACTGAGGCGATCAGATTTGTAAGTCTGTCCGTAAATGCTTGCCAGGGTCACGTACATCCCCAGGAAAGATCCACTGAGTGCAGTGATCCAAACGCTGCAATCTAGTAAAGTCCATGGCGAGACGTATATTATTTTGCGGAGTTCTTTCTATCCAAGCGTAGCAGACACATTTGAACAGCAATACTGCATGGTCACTGCGTCCTAAAGGTGAAGAGATATCGATGGATTCGACCATAAGCTCTTGTTTGGTTAGTACCAGATCCAGCATTGACGACGTCTCCAAGTTCCTAAACCCCGTGGGCTCCTTCACGTGGTTGTACAGTGGATGTGAGTCGATTAACTATTTAAACTGACTTTGGGACGATGGGTGGTAGGTCAAAGTTTGATTAAGATGCAGGCAGTTGAAATCACCCACTATTAGAATATGACTAAATTTGGCAGATAGGACTTATGACATTGCTCGCAAAAGTGTGTCGATTGCCGACTCCGTGGACGAGGGAGAACGATAGACCACTCCAACAAGACAATCGTCGTGCTTCGACAGTTTCAGTTTACACCAAATTGCGTCAGGGGCGGAAACAGGAGGATGAACAGCGTCGCACTGGAGATCGCTTCGATGGTAAAGTAGAACACCACCCCCACGTGTTGGACGATCGCGTCTGAGAAGAGATATGCCCGATAGTCACAACTCAGAGTCGAGAACGTCATCCGTCAACCAAGTTTCTATAACAGCAATGATATCCCACTGAATGGATTGGAAGCGCAACACCAGTTCGGAGAACTTACTGTGGAAACCTTGGGTATTAGTGTAGCAACAGGTCAAATGTTTCTGGTGTAGAAGTCCCTTTGGATGATAAGTAGAATCATTGCCGACCCTGTCATGGTCGGCTAACATTGGTGTTTTGGGGAGGGAGCCATGGTACTCTGATACCCAATTGTAGAGGGGAGCATGAGGCCGGAATCGATTGTGCATTAGCACCGTTATCACAGTGGAAACTCCGATACTGCAGCCTTCATCAAGGGTCTCAGGCGCAGTTCCGGCGGTCCTTTCTTTTTGTTTAGTTTCCAAGATTGAAGTATTGTGGTCGCCATTTTTGGTATGCTGAGGGTGACTTTCATTATCTTCGGGCCGTTACCGTGGTAATTTGGTGAACAATAAAGACGACTGATTGATGTGGTAAAAACATCTTGGCAGCTTATTAGGTCTTTAGTGAAACACCACTCCTTACAGTCGTTGTAGTTGCATCTGCACTCATCAAGATCATTTAGTTGTGGGACCCCATGAATGAGGACAACCTTTTTGTTCTCTACCTCCCGTGCACCTTCTGGATTGTTCCGGTATCGCACGCCCTCCGCCCATGGTCTATCAGAGAAAATTCGTGTGGTACTGGAACTGTTTCTCAAGAGGTAACTCGAAAGA